CTATACGTAAGATGAGAATAACTTTCGAAAGAATTGTGCATTTCTAGTACTTCCTAAGACTATTTAAATATATTCAAGACTCAAATCAACCCCCCAAAATGGCACACCTGTCCCTTTAAAGGAGTTTACATTCTCAGATTTTAAATTCAACCAAATAATATTACAATATATATGATAGGAAAGGTGGAGAGTGGTGGATTTTTCTCTGAATTCATAGAATATTCATTGAAAACATTTATATTGGTTGGACCTTAACTCATATTTTCAGCTATCATTATCTACCCAAATAAAGCAGCCTTTTTTATAAAGCTGTATCTATATATCACCCTTCAATACATCTTCACAAATAAAATACTTTTTACATGACTCATATTTATAATGTAAACAAATTAAAATCTTGTATTTTCTAGCCTTAAGGTAAATTTTAACCTTGTAATAATCTTATTACAACTATCCTCCTTTGAATTAAAGTGGCAATTTTTAGTGGCTTCTAAATTTAACAAAGTTGTCTTATATTATTGATGAGCATTGAATATATCAAGAAACTGATGTTACATGGTGTGCGTTATAATGTTTAATATTTGGATATCTGCCCCTGTGAGATGAGATGTCTTACTGATAGTATAACCACAACCTGACCTGTATCTTTAAATTTATGTGAAACAAAAAGTTTAATAATGTAATTTTCAAGAATATGGTTATATGTTTATCAGTGTTAACAAGTCATGGTTAATTGAAAAGGTGTAACCCAGAAAACCTGTTTTTCTGTTTTTGGGTTGTAACTATTGGACATTCCATAAAAAGAGTTAATACATGATGTTTTAACAATTTGTTGTAAAACAATTCTGATATGTTATAAAGTAAATGCATTTTCTGGCCAACTACTCTCAGTTCACAGTGAGCTCAGAATTTCACAAATATTCAAGATGAAATTTTCACTTGCATGCTATTTGTCATAGAATTTCTTTGGTTCTGAAAATTAGACGCCCAGAAAAGCTCAATTCCAATGATTTTGAAGCACTAAACACCCTATCAAAACGTATTCATGAGAAGGTTTGCTGGACTGTCTGTAATATCATATTTCCATGTAATATTTACATCAGTTTCATTTTAATAAACAATTGCAATGCTGTAAACACAGTCAATAGTTTGTGTGAAGACATTAAACACAAAAATTCCAAAATAACTCACCTGATAATATTCTCTAGTTGATCCATAACTAGGTACTATACTAATTCCCAAAGTTTCCTTACTATTTTTACGAATTTTGATCTCATTAGTTTGAAATCCCCTTGGATAGCTCCCTTCTGCTTCTGATTCAGATGTTTCAGATTGATAACCATTATATGATGGCCAACTATGAACTGGACCTAACCTTTGGTGATGTCGTGATAGTTGCCCAGATCTATGGCCTGGATCATTGTTTCTCCGAACTGACAGAAGGATGCGTAAAGGCATTTCATGAAACACAGATACACATTCATCATGAGTTAAAGTCGACAGAACTTTACGATTCACTTCTACAATTTCATCTCCAACTCGTATTCCCTGTGTACCACCTGTGGCTCTATAAGCTGCTCCTCCTAGTGTAACACTTTTCACGATCACTTTCCGCACTTTACTTGATCCTTTTTTACCAGCTTCTACTCCTAGAATCATTCCTAAATTTTCACCTGGCAGCCTATGAAGCATCAATTGCTCTAAAGATTCAGCATCTGATAAAATATCCTCATCACTTTTATTGTCTGTATCATCATTATGAATTTTTCGATAACGTAAACCATAAACAGAGTTTCTTACAGGGGAGGCAATTTCAGATTCTGTATCGGTGGTGGTACTATCATATGAACTAGAGTCAGTGGTCAAATAGGCATTTTGTGTGACATAAGAATTTGCTGAATTAGGTTGTGAATTTTGATAATATGTAGTCGTGACCCTAGTGATAGATTCATTTTCATCTGGATTCACTATATACTGTCGTTGCTTCCTGGCCGGACTTCGAGGGCTTTTACCACCATATTGACTATGTGCAGGACTCCAACTTGAACTGTGGGAAGGACTTGGTCTTGAACTATGTGCAGGGCTATGCCTCACACTATTTGATGCACTCTGTTGTAAACTCTGAGCTGGACTATAATTAACACTAATTCTAGGACTATCAGTATAAAATGAATCTATATCAGTTTTTGGAATAGAACTGTCAGAATTTTGTCTGAGTGGAGGTGAACTAAGGTTGCGTCTGGTGAAAAGACTATGGTCGAAATCAGAAAAATCAGATTCTGTTGTATCAGATTCCATTGTTAAAGATTTAGTTCTGGTTTCTAAAACTTCTGTTATTTCATCTAAAAGTGATTTTGATCTTCTAGCAAGTTTGTTTTTCCTCACTGGAGGAATGGGTGTGGCATCAGTTGAACCTTCTATCTGAAAATATACAAAAAATTCATGACTTGAATTCATAGGATAGCCTTAAAATATTTAATATACTTTACTCCTATCGTCCTATCTCAAGGCAAAGTTAGTTTTCCTGAAAATTTCATTAATCAAAATATATTGGATGATTTCCCCAGAGCTAATCTACAGAGATGTCATCATAAATACAAAACCTTCATACAAACAACAAATATCAAAATAAAACCAATTACTAACAATTGACAATTTTATATTAATTACTTTGAATAATGAGAAACCGAAGCAAAACCCTAGGATCCTAGGTTCACTTAATGTTCTTACAGGAAAAATTGTTGTGCAATGGTAACCTAAAAAAGAACAAAGGTTAAAAAAAAACCTTATAATTTGAAAGAATATCTGATATACAACTAATTAGACTTACAGCATAAACCACTTTTAAAAATTAATCCAATCTAAATATGGAACGGCTAACAACAGAATACTAATGAGAGTAAGTAATATATTTAAGTACCGTAGATATTTCAATATTTAAATGAATTTTCTATAAGTGAAGATGTCAAGATTGTAGACTATCATACAATGCTAATGTTGGTACAGGAGTTCTTCAAAAATTCTGATTCGAGTTTAATTAATGGAACTTGGTATATCTTAAATTCAACATTTAGCTTAGTGAGTTGCTTACATCACTGAGACTTCCAAGTTAAATTTCTAAAAATTGAACCTTTGATATCCAAACAGCTGTCCTGATGATGAAGTTTATCTGAAACACCTGTGAACAGCAATTCAAGACTTTGTCATTTATATTGTGATATTGCAATTACTATTATAACAGGTAACAGGCTGTACCTTAAATAATTAATCTTAGATTATCCTAATCCATTAATCCTTATTAAACTATTAACCTTACTAATATATGTCTGGAATTTAACAAATACTTTTTTTTGTGGATATTATGGAACCTGTCACAAGTTTACTTTGATATCACCAGATAGCACTCCATGATGGAACCTATTCCTTTCATTGGCTTTACAAGACAATTTCTATGGAAAATACCATCTCTAACTAATCCCATGTTTCAACTTTGCTACACTCTTTATTGTATTCTATATGGACCACAGGTTTTTCATCTGAATTCAGAGTGTGCATGTACACAGAGCTATAATATGTTTTTGTGTTTTATTGTCCTTTTTCTGACAACTAACAAAGACACAAGTTTTCATTTAATTTTCTTGAGTTTCACAGTTACTTCCCTTTAAATCAGCCTAAAAATACAATAAAACTGTTGGAAAACAGGGGTTGATATTTAGTTTAAATACATTATATCTAGCAATATGTCCATAGATTTTTTTAAACACACTGTATAATGGATCAATAATATGTAATGTTAAACAAGTTGACTACAGATTAATTCAGGTAGCAAGATGTTACAAAATAATAGTTTGTAAAACGCTGAACAAGATAATGATTTGTAATAAGATAATGGCACCAATTATCATGAATATGACGTATTTGCAAAATTTTGCTTCTGAACTCTTAATAGTTATTTGATCTTTGGACTGTCTAAACTAAAAGCCCAGTCATTATGCCCATAAACATGGCACACTGTTCTGAGACTATTGGAACCAATATTCCAGAAAGTCTCCTTATTATTGCTGATTCCTAAGATCTAAAAATACCTACCAATAAATATTTTGGTTAAGCCCACTATGTACAAAATATAAACTTAAACAAAAGAGTTGAATGCCCAAATTATAGCAACATGATAATCCATGTGTTTGTAATCCAATATTTAAATGAAGACTGGTAAGGGATAAGTATCTAAAACTTCTAAAAGAATGACACCAAATAAAAGCATCAGAATAATAGGTAAGACACTGACCTTCACCACAGTTTAGTTAAACAATGTATTAACCTAATTTCGATCTTAAAATCTCTCACAGAAGATATCTAAGTATTCTGTGTTTCAGTGTAAGTTACCTACTGATAATAGTTTAGTATCATTCGCTCACATTCTTCAATAATCAGCAAAAACCATAAGTAAAACAAACACAACAAATTCAATTTGGCTTTGGCCCTTCATATCTAATCAGAGATTAAAACTGTCCTTTTAAATTTATCACTTATCCTCATATTTAATTTGGTAAAAAATTAAAAGTTTAGTTCTTTAATATCCAGCTATGAATCAATCCTGCACTAGGAAATGCAAAAGCATGTGGCATCCAATATAATCTTACTAACTTCAAATGACATTCCCTCACAGTATAATCAAACAATACATCCATTGATCAGAAATTAAGATATTAATCAAATATTAATAACATTTCAATAGTCAATTCAACACATTACAATATCAGAATGTTCTGTTACAGTATTATAGTGAAACAATGTTTCAATCTGATAAATTAATTAACAATATATAATTAGTTTTATTGATTAATTAGTAGTGTGATTAAATCAATGACTGAAGTCATAAACCAATTCAACATTCTACCTGGACAGTCTATCTGGTTGATACAGAATTGTTGATACATAATGGGTGGACTCACTTTAGTCATTGGCTTTTCTGATTGAAACAGAATGGGTGGACTCACTTAAGATTTTGACCTATCTGGTTGATACAGAATGGGTGGACTCACTTTAGTTATTGACCTATCTGGTAGAAACAGAATGGGTGGACTCACTTTAGTTATTGACCTATCTGGTTGATACAGAATGGGTAGACTCACTTTAGTAATTGGTTGATACAGAATGGGTGGATTCACTTTAGTTATTGACCCATCTGGTTGATACAGAATGGGTGGACTCACTTTAATTATTGACCTATCTGGTTGATACAGAATGGGTGGAACACTTTAGTTATTGACATATCTGGTTGATACAGAATGGGTGGATTCACTTTAGTTATTGACTCATCTGGTTGATACAGAATGGGTGGACTCACTTTAATTATTGACCTATCTGGTAGAAACAGAATGGGTGGACTCACTTTAGTTATTGACCTATCTGGTTGATACAGAATGGATAGACTCACTTTAGTAATTGGTTGATACAGAATGGGTGGATTCACTTTAGTTATTGACCCATCTGGTTGATACAGAATGGGTGGACTCACTTTAATTATTGACCTATCTGGTTGATACAGAATGGGTGGAACACTTTAATTACTGACCTATCTGGTTGATACAGAATGGGTGGAATACTTTAGTTATTGACCTATCTGGTTGATACAGAATGGGTGGACTCACTTTAATTATTGACCTATCTGGTTGATACAGAATGGGTGGAACACTTTAGTTATTGACATATCTGGTTGATACAGAATGGGTGGACTCACTTTAATTATTTACCTTTCTGGTTGATACAGAATGGGTGGACTCACTTTAGTTATTGACCTATCTGGTTGATACAGAATGGGTGGACTCACTTTAGTTATTGACCTATCTAGTTGATACAGAATGGGTGGACTCACTTTAGTTATTGACCTATCTGGTTGATACAGAATGGGTGGAACACTTTAGTTATTGACATATCTGGTTGATACAGAATGGGTGGACTCACTTTAGTTATTGACCTATCTGGTAGATACAGAATGGGTGGACTCACTTTAATTATTGACCTATCTGGTAGATACAGAATGGGTGGAACACTTTAGTTATTGACATATCTGGTTGATAAAGAATGGATGGACTCCCTTTAGTTATTGACATATCTGGTTGATACAGAATGGGTGGATTCACTTTAGTTATTGACATATCTGGTTGATACAGAATGGGTGGAACGCTTTAGTTATTGACATATCTGGTAGATACAGAATGGGTGGAACACTTTAGTTATTGACCTATCTGGTTGATACAGAATGGGTGGACTCACTTTAGTTATTGGCTTTTCTGGTTGAAACAGAATGGGTGGAACACTTTAGTTATTGACCTATTTGGTTGATTCAGAATGGATGGATTCACTTTAGTTATTGACCTATCTGGTTGATACAGAATGGGTGGACTCACTTTAGTTATTGACATATCTGATTGATACAGAATGGGTGGAACACTTTAGTTATTGACATATCTGGTTGATACAGAATGGGTGGAACACTTTAGTTATTGGCATATCTGGTTGATACAGAATGGGTGGAACACTTTAGTTATTGGCATATCTGGTTGATACAGAATGGGTGCAACACTTTAGTTATTGACCTATCTGGTTGATACAGAATGGTGGAACACTATAGTTATTGACATATCTGGTTGATACAGAATGGATGGACTCACTATAGTTATTGACATATCTGGTTGATACAGAATGGGTGGAACACTATAGTTATTGACAAATCTGGTTGATACAGAATGGGTGGACTCACTTTAGTTATTGACCTATCTGGTTGATACAGAATGGGTGGACCTAGTGATTTCAACATAGGTTTTGCTGTCAAATCATTCAAGAGTAAATTAAACTATTTAGATGAGCATAAGATTCATAAGTGCTCTATCAGTCATGCAGCATCCTTCAAAAGTCAACCACTCCTTAAATATTTAATTTTTAATCTGTCACCTATTACTGAGTCAATGATAAATAACTTGGTATCACTGTTGAAAGGTATGAATCATATTCTACATGTATAAAGTATACGTAGTAGATAATCCATATCAATCTTTTTTTTGTCAAAGTCTTAAATTCTTAAAAACGTTTTTTGAATCATTTAGATTTTTCTTATATTTGAAACTGAGAAAGGGGAATTCAGTGCTTCAAATGCCTCTATCCACCCTTTAACCCTAGTAGAGTACTTCTAGAGTAGCAATATTTGGACAGTATAGTTTATATATTACAGTCTAAGTGCATAGGTAACTGTTACAAATATCCAATTTAACCATTTTCAGTCCAAGGAATTTTACAATTTCAGATATCTGAATGTGAAATCAAAATAGTATACTTATCAGAGGCTAAAAGTGTCCCAGATTCACATAAAAAGAGGCCAGAGAACCTGTTTAAAATCCTAATAACAAAAGTTATTTACAACATGTGATTAAGTATAATAATTTATTTACCTGTAAATTTTATCACAACAAAATCCTACTACTTATATATCTAAACTTTAAATATTTCATTTATCCAATCTTGTGTACACATGTGAATTTACAACTAAATGAATCTGATTTTTCAAGCGAAATAAAGCACGTTGTCACCTATACATGTATTTAACCTAATAAACTCTAGTTATAAATACTATAAGAGGAGAAATGATATTATGAATATTATATTTTCAATGTTATATTGATTCTTATACTGTAACAGATGTCATTCAGGTTCTCTAATGTGATTTCTACAACACATATTCTATCATTTAACTATTACAGTGGGACTTCAAACAGACGGGTTTACAAATCTTAGTCAATGATATGTCTGTCTTCTTATTGCTGTCTGCTAGGCATTTAGGGACTGAAACTGACACTTCCTAACCACTACAATCATTGGCAAAATTTTTCATTGCACACTGTATTGTGTTGCCCCATTCAAAAACTAGCCCGCCGAGCCGAGCCCAGAAAACTATTACATAAGATTCCATTTCATATCTTTTATGTATCAGTAAAATTTGAGACCGTATTTGAGACCGTGAGATTGTAGTTTGCTTTGAAAAGAAAAGATAGTGTATCAATATGCACTGAGGTATGTATAAACAAAAATTTTATTGATTCTGAAATCTGGAAATTACTTGAAGTTTATGTTTGTTTGAGACTTTATGCAGATTTTTGAAGAGTCTAAACAGACAAGATCAGAAGAATAATAATTGATGCCAACAACCATCAGTAAGTAATATATCTTAATTCTCTTACCTTCTTCAACACACAAGTACCTAAAAACTTAAGATCTGTGCTTGTTAATGATCTAAAGGTATGCCACTAATAATCATAACTGACTTAAACTAAACAATGACTATATAAGATATATAGAAACAATCATACTACCTTAGGCTCTTTATCAAATATTCATACCAATACAACTAGTTAATATTTTATCAAGGTAAGATTCTTACAATTAAACTCACAATGTATTCTCAATTAAAGTCACCATGTGTCCTACTATCTCCTCTTAATGACAGTTTGTTATAAATCTGTTCAGAAATATCAGTGTGTTTATCCCTTCAAAAAGTCACAATTTGTTAAACATCCTTTTAGAAAGTCACAATGTATTTTATATCCCTTCAGAACAATGTATTTTATATCCCTTCAGAACAATGTATTTTATATCCCTTCAGAACAATGTATTTTATATCCCTTCAGAAAGTCACAATGTATTTTATATCCCTTCAGAACAATGTATTTTATATCCCTTCAGAACAATGTATTTTATATCCCTTCAGAAAGTCACAATGTGTTATATATCCCTTTAGAAAGTCACAATGTATTTTATATCCCTTCAGAAAGTCACAATGTGTTATATATCCCTTCAGAAAGTCACAATGTATTTTATATCCCTTCAGAAAGTCACAATGTGTTATATATCCCTTCAGAAAGTCACAATGTGTTATATATCCCTTCAGAAAGTCACAATGTGTTATATATCCCTTCAGAAAGTCACAATGTGTTACATATCTCTTCAGAAAGTCACAATGTGTTATATATCTTTCAGCTAAAGTCATAAGAGTTGTAATTCCCTTCAGAAAATTACAAAGTGTCATGCCATGTATCCCTTTAGTTCAAGTCACAATGTGTTATATATCCCTTTAGTTAGTAATGTACGATAAATGCAATTTAATCCCTTGGTTTATATTTGGAAAAATTGCATCACTCAAGTACAAATAATCTTTGGATAACAGAGAATGAGAGAAATCCAGGTTAAAAAATAGAAATATTAGAATGATTTATTTAACAAATAGACCTTATTCATGCGTCGGTCATATTGAATCCAGAACATGGCTCAAATCTTGAAAAGTTAACGTTGTCACTGCATAAAATCGCCACCTTGACGTCTTTGAAGCCTCTTTCTCCAATCTGACTAACTCAAAACTAATCATAATTGACATCATTATATTTTGATATAATTAAGCTATTTGATCATACTTTCAGATGAATTTTACCTTCACACATTTCCTAGAAAGGGCATTTTTAAGCCAGTGTTCTTGTTGTTGAGCAAGTGCTTAATGACGTCAAATAGGCTATTCATTCGCCATCATATCAATAACGATTAACTTAAAAACGAGTGAATATATATAATGTTTATTTAGATTATGTGTCACTACTAAGTGAAAAATTGAAATTGAAAAGAACCATTAACATGTTAAGTTTGGTCACTTTTAATTTAAAACAATGAAGTATAATAGGTGAACAAGGGATGAAAAGTGTTCAGTCTATTGTTTTATAAGTAAACTGAACAAGGACAGGTAAAAGTTTCAACCCCAGATTTGATGTGATGAGTAGAATTCAGGGGTTATAGTCTAGGTGACCACATTAGGTACAAGCTCATTAAGCCAGCAGATGTCCCAAGGTTCACTTCTTGTTGCTAAGCATGCAGAAAACATTATGATGACAAATTAAAAACCACTTTAAAGTTTACAGAATAGGTAAGCATTGATATAGGTTTTTGTGTTACTCTGTGTATTTTCTGTATCTAAATAACCTGTTAGAAAAGAAACTTGTGTTTTTAACCATTTTCTTTTGATTGGACAAGTCTGTCATCTTTGTTAAGAAATTATAAAATTAGAAAATAAATTTAATGTGGTGCAGTGATATTGCTTCAGTGTTTATCATGAAAATTCATTTTTTCCTGATATAGAAATCAAATTTGGATCTAGGTCAAGTATCATGAGTAGGAGACTTATGGAAAAAAATAAAATCAATTAATTTGTATACTATACATGTATTACCATTTGGCTTATCTGTACTTCCTTCTGAACTTAACTGTGAATGTGATTATATCTATCTGATATTTTCTCTTTATAACAACTGCTTGAAGAAACAAAATGACTTCTTTAGACTCTATAGGGAAGTCTAGCCAATTTGTCTCTTCCCAAATCGAGTCCTATCCCCCACTGTGGCTATAATCTGATAAGCAGTGTATCATATAAGATGAAAAGAATGAATGTTTAAAACTCATCATATTTAAAGAGTTGATTTCATGTGGACATTGTTTTAGTCACTGAACATGAAGTCAGCTCCATGTATGAACTTCTTTAGGTTAAGGGAAGTCATCAAAATTTAGAATGGCAATTATTTGAAAGTCTTATTTTAGAAAATTTCCCTCTCAGTAATTGTATGATTTGGGTAATGGTTGGTCGACCAGCATAGCAGCTGAAGGCAGGCATGTAGAAAGTTAGGGGGCCACTATTGCTGCATTGCGGTCCAGAGTAGGTGTGGTCATGTGTTCTACGGCAAAGATTAGGAATCCTATAAATCTGACATTATTCATTTTATCAATTTCACAAGAGGGATCTAATAATAAAACTGGAGTGCCAGAGTCTACCCTATTTGAAATAAATAATTTGAATTGGAAATTTTTCTAAATTCTGACTGATTGGAAGTCACTTTAAGATAATATCATTAATTATATAATTTCTCTTCAGACATGTTTGTTATAGAATGGACATCATTTCCATAAAATCTTTATTTATATTATTATTAACCAAGGTTTATTCTAAAAAAATCAATTTCTTTTGTTTTTTTAGGTATGGTTATGTTTACCTATTTGGTTTTAGTTTTAATGTCTGACTATTCAAGAGCTGGAAATTCTGATAGATATGCAAAAAGAGTCTATTGATCTGATAAAAAATATAATACTCAAGACTAATTATCTTTCAAAATGTGAAACAGAGAAATCAAGAAAGCATTTTGCATCACAGGAACATTATGATCATCAACATAATGAATTTATTTAACTGTTTTCTAATTAATATTTGAACTATAATTATAGATTGAATAGCAGAATGGAATTTCAGTTAAATAGAAGAGATGATGAAATGGTTTTTGTCCTGACAACAACCTATAGATAATTTATTTTCCCTATGAAATAAAGCACTTTGTCTTGGTTTTGTTTTAAAAAGAAACATGTCCTTGAAATTTGCAAATAATCAAAATCTTGTGCAAAAGATGTTTAAGCATTGGTGTCATAATAATTAACTTTATACATATTGAAAGTTCAGTGGGATATATCTAGATGGTCATCAGCTTGTTGCTATATGTTGAAGCCTCACTGTAAAAAAAAAAAAAAAAACTGACGCCAGAGTGCATTTCCAAAGACCTCTGCATTCCTTCCATTTTCAATTCATTAGCAATGGCAATAAGGTAGCGTCTGTAGAAAATTAACACAGAATCAAACATAAAGTCCATTCCCATAAAAGAGTGCAAACAAATGCAATTCTTCCAATCATAATTTTGATTCTAAACATTTACAATGTTTGATCTCATTTAGTTTTCACAAAACATGGTACATATATGCATTAAAGCTAAGTTCATGTTGAAATTTGAGTAGTTTTAGACATGCTTCATGGACCTGATTTTTTTTTTTATTATATTGCACTTCTCAATAACTAAGGTGGACTAAGAGCCTTGATCAATGCTAATTGATACAACATAGATAAGATGTCAGCAATTTCCTCAAGGTAACACAATCCAATTAAACTCAGTTATTCATGGGTTATCTTAATGTTGTATAGTGTACTCATATAGGCCTATATTGATTACGTCTGCTATATTGTATAAATAAATTGACAGTAAATAAACATATATTGTCCTCTTTTAATAACAATCAATACACCCACAATCATATTGTTAAGTGAGATCCACCTATATATATCACACATAAATATTCTGAAGACGAAAGGGACATAACTCTTATGATACTTTTGTAATGTCCTTGAAATTCCATAATTGGGGGTGGAAAGAAATAATAATAAATAATCCCACTGGAAAAGTGAAATAGCAAACTTGACGCGTAAGTAGGAATTATGCTAGCATTGCTGTCCAAAACTCTGACCATACAGAAAACTATCACATAAACTTAAACTGCTCTCATCAATATGCATTATAAAGCGCTGTACAAAGCTACACACTTAAAAGGGAAATCTGAACACTAATGGGAGATAACTCCTCTGATTAGATAAATCAATCATAGCCTACAGTAGTTTTATATACACTTAATATTCTTGCTCAATTTGAATATATACAATTCAAATTTATTCCTTTTGCCATGTGATTTCATTCAAGAATCTAGTAAATAATCTACAACAACCTACTACTACCAAAAACCGAAATTCAAAATGTGTTTACATACGGTTTGATAATGAGATTAAACATATTCATTTCACCACTTACCTTTTCTGGGCCTTTCTTATTGGCTGCGTCTGCCATGCTTGACTTTTTGTCTTCACTCTTCAATTCTGAAACAAGAAAGAGTGTATTTGGTAACAATTAAAACATTCTTTCCACATTCCTGTGTTTTGTTGATCATCTCTACCAAGTCAATATGAAAACAATCAAGACAGAGTACTATCACACAATGTTACATTAAGTTTTTTTTATTTAGTTTTCCTGAGAACTAATATCTCAATAAAATCAGAAACTAACACTTCTGAAAATCTGTGTTTCTTCTTCCGCTCAGAAGTCGAAAACTGAACATCAAATCCTTTCTCGTTAAGATCTGAATGACAAATATGTCTAGTGCAGAATTATCAATACTATTAGAAATAGGAGAAGCCAAATCATGAGGTATGGGATGTGATACTATACACTTCGCTTCTTTTCTTTCCTACCATATGGATAATCCTACACCCTACAGCACACAACCATATTTCAATTTCTATTCAAAACTTTACTAAAATATAAAATCAGTCTTTTCCATATCAACTTATCATTCAAAATACTAAAACACAATAACTGTATTATTACATCCTTTTGACAGTGTGAACAAATTTCACATACATGAGGATGTTCTTATCACATTGTGCATCATCTCAAACACTGCAGACCACTTGGAGCATGTACTGCATCTATTCTTACCTTTCTCACCACATCCTAATAACATAATCTTCATAAACATTATTTTATTAATATAAGTCTACCTCCTTTTCATGTTATTCAGAAATCTATACTTTCAATCAAAACAGAAACCAAAAAGCAAAATTGAACAGAATAAGCCTCTCTCTGAAGACAGTCTCTTATTTTGTTTTTTATAAGTTCACCCACCTTCCAACCAATTATTATCTATTAACACTTCTTTCATAAAAACATCAGGCTTACTTACTATAATCCTTTAGGGATGAATGAACAGTTTGAGGTATATATATAAAAAGGTGGTTACTTACATCATATTATATATCAATATCTCAATTGACCAAGATTTAACAATAGATAATAAAATATTTGTCATACCTTCTTTAGATATCCTGAGATAAGTCTATTATATTTGATTGAATATAGAAAGACGAATTCTGATTATCAAATATAACAATTTCCTTTGGTCAGAGAATAAGCAATGATATATTAATTGAATCAATAGTTTAACTGAAAACCTGGCATCTAACTAGGAGAAAAACATGCATTGCTCACCCTTAAGATTCAATATCAAATGTTTGGAAGTTCACCAACATTCTCATTTTTGCACCAATAGCTACATTAGCTAAAATCTAGCTCAGAAGTCATGGTTGAATT